AGATAAAATTTTAATAGTTTGATATTTTAACTGTAAAATCCCATGTAAAAATTTATTTAAATCATTCGAAGATAAACCAATCAGTTTATTATACAATTATGATATCTTACTGTTACATTATGCAAAAACACTGTAAAGCAAATAAATATATATTGTATATGTAAGTTTAAATTAAATTTAAAATTACTAATTCAAACACCTGATATATTAAAACTAACATTACATTAAAGAAAATTACATGTACTAGATAAATGTAATATTTGTCTTTAAAGTCATAAGTGTCTTTAGAAAATATGAAAAATCCTCTGCGTAAGAGACATTCATCCATTATCCCAGTTTTTCCCAATTGTATTCTGGCTAAAAAAAAATAAAATTAGAATACACACTTTTATTTATCAGAGAAAAAGAGGAATTTAAAAGAAATTATTTACAATTTAAAATGTAAACATATTAAAAATATTTTAATAACAATCTTTTCAGTAGAGTTTGCATTTATAAAATAGTTATTCTTACATTTATCTATTCTTGCATTAAGTCACAGAAATATCTTTTTCTAATGCCTTAAATTTATTTGAAATAATGGTGTACGAAAGCTTATAAAAATTTCCTACTTTATTTAAGATGCTGTAATTAATTGATACGAATAAAAAAGTATTAAGGACTGTAATATGAACTGTATACATATTACAATAATTTATTTAAAAAAATGCATTTAAAGTTCAATTTTAACTTTAATAAATACATAAATAACAGATAAATATTTCAAACAGATAAATATTTCAAACAGATAAATATTTCAAATTACATATTTTAATTATCAATAAATCAATAAATATCAAATTAAAGGCAATATTATTGTAACTGAAATATACATATCACTAATTAAAAATTGTTTTGATCTATAAAACTAATAAATTTATTTTTACTGGAAAATATATGTATTTATGGATGACTCAAATTTTCATCGCAAAAAAAAAATGAAATAAAAAATTTTTTAATTAAATCACTGAAGAAGAAAATAGAAAATTCAATATCACACTCAATAGCTGGAGCATGAAAACAATGATATTTTCTTAAGAGGAAATTAAAAGCCACCAGCGATTAAATAAGAAAATTAAAAATAGTTTGAAATAATCTGTTCATATATAATCAATTATTTTCAATATGTTTCTTTTAAAATAGATGTAGGCAAAAGTTACAATAAAATAATTTTTAGCAATAGGACATTCATTAACACTCCAAATTTCAAACAACATGAAAAAAGTTACTCTATTGGAGTCAAAAAGAAAGAAATAACAGAAATATAAAAGAAACAAATACAAATACAGAAAACATTTAAAAGTTTTTATAAATAATTTGTGCATTTTATTTCAATAAAGAAAAGATTTAAAATAATAACAAAAATCACAGTTTCTTATTACAGTGATACCCCGAACTTACGCGATAGGTGGGACCGAGCGATAACCGCGTAAGTCAAATTCGCGTAAGTCGGGATATAATTTTGCAATTTGTGTAAAATCCAAGTCGAATGTATGTAAGCTAATAAATGTTCTTGTTAATCTTATCTCGTCTTTTGATTCATTCACGTTTACAAGAAATAACCATATAGAGTATCTCAAGTCTCCATAGATATAACAAACACAGAAATAAACAACACAAAATAAATTGTAACTATGCGTCGATTCCGCGTGACACATCCGAACATGTAATATGTCATGAACAATGTCACATGTAATATGTCATGAACATGTCATGAACAATAGTGTGGGGGGAGTGAGTAATCAAGAGCTGCGTGGCACTCAAACAAAAGACGAATCCACGAGATTTGAAAATCGCGTAACTCCAGGTTTGCGTAAGTTGGGGTAGCGTAAGTCGAGGTATTACTGTATATAGATAACTTCTAATAACAGACTTCTAACTATTCAATATATTAGTGAGGTTGATGCGGAAGTTTTAAATGCGAAAAAAACGTGTACGTCGGACGTTCAGTGCCACTTTCCTGTAAGCCTAGAAGTTTGACAATGGTGTTTGGATAGTCAGTGGAATCATGCTCGACATTCCAAACACCATTGTCAAACTTCTAGGCTTACAGGAAAGCGGCGCTGAAC